TTCACAGTTAGCATGTCTCTCTGTGCCTGCGGGGCTTTTCGGTCCAAAGACATGCTCACTAGGTTAGCGAGTGATTTTGGTGTAGGTATCAACAAGAGTGTGAGTATAACTCTGTCATAGATGTTAATTCGTCTAAATGTTACGTATGATATCTTTTAACTCAGTTAGTCTCAACAACTGTACCAACTCTGTAGCAACATCATGAGCTCAGTTTCACACCCTGCATTTGGCTGAAAGGAGGACAGCAGATGCTGCTGTTAACTAACACATAACAAGACTTTACAGCTCAACACTGGACTCTTTTCATTCATGGTGTGAGCCGTCCTGTGTCATTCTTCTAACTTAATAAACCCAAACAACAACACGTGCTAGTCTGCAGCATGCGCTTCCTATTATCCCAAAGGAGGATGGCAAAATGAATACAGACTCACTGATGAAAGCTCTTATATCCTTTTTCTGACCTTTAACATTCCTGCTTCTAAAGCAAACTTTACATTAAGTAATGCGTCATGTGACGTATTACAGAGAGCTGGAAATCACCCAGGCAGCATTAAAAAGTCATTCGTTCTTACCGCTCTGCCATCTGATGACAGTCACACTAACATCACCAGAGGCAAGCAGAGTCCTATGAAATACTTTTCAGTGACAGAGGATGTCTCCTCATGTCGATCCATAGCATTTGTTACACACTGGAGAAAAGTGAAGAAGACTCTAAACACCACATTCACACTATGTCCTCTAACACGGTGAAGATACAGATCTCGAGACAGTGTTTTTTCTGGACTTATTATTATTATTTGGACTGCCTTCATTGCCACTAATCTCATTGAGACTTTGAAAAACAAAACAAGTTTAAGTGAGCTAAGATGACAGCTAAAGGTTGTACACATGCTTGAACAAGGAGGATCTTTAAAATAAACTAGCGTGGTCTTGCCAATTTCCTAATCAAACAAGCTTAATTCTCTAAATTTAGCATAGGCTTCATGCAGTTTCAGTCTGATGATTTCTTTGCCCGGCGGCACGGCGTTGCAGTGATCGGCACTGTCGGATCGCAGCAGGGTAGTTAGGGAATGAGATGGATGGACTTATTTGCCAGATCACCGAGAAATAATGGCATCAATATTGACTCTGTGATCATTCTCAGAGATTAGCACCCTGTTGTATCCACTTCAATAACTTGGAAGTGAGACAGCACTTTGTTCTTGATTTCTGTTTGAATGTTTCTGACCCTAAGAAGCAGAGAGTTGCCTAAAAGCCCTCAAGACCAGAAACACAGCAAATTAACACAAAATTCTTTATCTAGTTATACAATCAGGTGTTAGGGTCACACGCTGTTTACTGATATTTCAAAAAGAAAGTGTACATACGCATTTAGAGAAACTCGGAGGATTTTAGCAGATAATCTCTAATAGGATCTCCAGCTGCAGAAAACCAAATAAATCACAGGGTGTTGATTATTTTAGCACGAGTGGAGTCGGCGCTCATTTTCGCCAAAGAGGCAGCAGAAAGTGTGATAACACCCAGACAGCCTTGTGCTGCATTAAGCACTCACGCTAGGCAGCACCATTGTTTAGCTGTAACTTACGTAAATAGTGAGTCAGTCCCTGCCTCTTCCCAAGTTCATTCAATTATTAAGCAGAGCAAACATGACACAAAGCAATTCAAACCGAGGAGCTCAACTGGGCCCACAGAGCAAGGAGAATGCAAACTCAGAGAAGGAAATAAAGAACCTTCTCTTAAAACTTTGCAGTTCAATCATAAACCAGATCCTCTGAGAGCGAGGTGATTGATCACTGTTCTGGTGCACAGGAATGCTCGGTTAGGAAAGTAAAGTGGGAAGTCCCCCCAACTGTGAATGTGTTTAAACCACTCCTCTCTTAACAACTTGGTAAGGAATGCACTCTGTATTCGACTAGTCCGGTCAAACAACGAAGCAAAAAAAAAAAACCCTCCTCTGGCCCTCAGATTGGCATCAAAGGCAGACAGAAACAAGCCATCGGGGCCCGAGGGCCCAGGATAGGGTCCTCATTATGATAAGGCTGAGGATGGATGCCAGAAAAGCAGGAATGTGAGCAGCACCGCCTGTTAATAGAGAACATACACGAGAGGTTGGCTGGGAAAACATAACACCCACTAGTGTGTCTGGGATCCTCTGTATGATACGCTGCTCGTGTTTGAGGCAATGTGTGCACAAATCTGTCATTTGCATGTATATGGTGCAATTATCCATGCACACACACACGGGCGTGCCTCCGTTTGTGTGTGGCTGCGCGCGTCAGGCTGACCAGATGCCGCGCTGCAGTCTGTAGGGAGCACTAATTAGCTGTGTGTTTACAGTCATAGACGGACAACAGAGCGAGGCTGGGCCTGCTGCCGGCCGTGCAGGGATGAATGGCACGGCTTACAAAGGACGACACCCCCAAGGCAACCGGCGAACACACCGCTCAGACCAATAAACGCTTTAACTTGTCTGACCTGTTCCTGCTGATGCTTAGCAATTTTATTTCTTTTTTTCCCCACATTTTAGCTTACTGATTACTTTGAAAAAAAAAGTCTGAAAAGAGCCAGAAATGTTCAAAAAACATAGTTTAAAAATTTCCATCCTGCTTTTCCAAACAAAAAAAGGGTTTTGTGCTAGGACCAATTCTATTTACATTATACATTCTTTTCTCAATTCGGGTAAAACATGAGGTTAATGTACACGGTACACGGTTAACATTAGAAACATAGTGTCGAGGAACATACACTACCAGTCACCTTCTCATTTAATGGTTTTTCTTTACTTTTACTACTTTCTACAATGTAGATACTGAATACATCAAATATATGAAGCAAGATATATGGAATTATGTAGCAAAGAGAAAATTAATAAATAACTCTATTTATGTCTTATATTGTAGATTCCTGAAAGTAGCCACCCTTTGCTACTTCATGTTTGACAGACAGTGATGTGGACGCTGTACCAAAGTTTTCAGTTTTAGTGTACCCTCATCTATGTCCACGAGCTGTGGGTAGTGAATGAGATCGTGGCTATGAGTGACAGATATGAGCTTCCTCTTAAAGGTGGTGGGGGCGCTCCCTTAGAAATAGGGTGAGGAGAGGTCACTTGGGTGCAGCTCAGAGTAGAGCTGCTACTCCTCCACATCAACATGAGCCAGCTGAGGTAGTGTGGGCATCTGATTAGGATGCCTCCTGAGTGAGGCGATTTGGATGTGTCCAACTGGATGGAGGC